AGGAATTCCAGGGTGTCCTCCTTGAGGCCAGGTTCTATACTTCGAAAGTGACTACGAGGGAAAGAAAGGTGTGGGAGTGAGACAGGAGCCTGCAGAGTCCATTCTCAAAGATCAGCTCAAAGGAATCTAACGTCAAAATACTCAGGAAATTGTCAACTACGGTGGCAAGCTGGATAAACGCTCACTGTGGATGTCAGCACCCAGAACCAATTATCAGTGAACCCATAATTTGGAATTTTGAAACTCACATGCAAAACCAGAGAAATAGCCACCAGTTCTTTCAAAAGCACCTGCTGTGGATTTCACTTACTGTAAAATGCTGTAGATTGTATCGAAGTGCTCCAGTATGGCGAGGGGCCCCTGAGCTCGGAAGGCAGACTGAAATGCTAGAAAATTCAGAGGAAAGACAGGATTTCTTGGTAAATTCTATTTTTCTCCAGAAGGCATTTAGTTGACATGTTTCCTGAATCTGTGTTTTTCACGATCTTGGTTTTTTTTTTTTTCTTTTAAAGAATGCCCCTCAATTTATATTTGCTTAATGTTTTGTTTCCCGATTACTGTTTTACCAAGATGACCACACACGTGAAGTTCCCATCCTTCCCATCGGATCTATCAAAAGGCGGATGAGTCGACACTGCGGCACGTAGCCATAGGCTCAGCAACTCAGGAGGCCACAGCTAAGAGCTGCTACCACAGACAGACTCTGTCATTACACAGATCAAGCAAAGAGGCAATCCCTGAGCACTGACTCCAGCTCAGCACTCAGTGGCATCTCTCATTTCTCCCCTGTAGGACTTTTTCTTTACAAAACCACGTCCTACACTTTGGTCAAGAAAGGACCACACCCACACCCATACACACGTGTGTGTGTGTGTGCGCACACACACACATGCACACAAGGTCAGTAACATGACAGCCATCTACTCTTTGACGCTTACACAGTAACAAAATTGCCGATGACGCAGGACTTAGAAGGCATCCTGTTAAATGACGTGTGAAAATAGCTTTGGGAAAGCAAATGATGCTACTCTCTGGCTTCAGTCACATTTTTGTAAGGCAAGCACCTGTGAACACAGATATCACTGCAGTATTTCCCAGATTGTTCTTTTCTATTTCCATTACTGTTTCTATGCCTGCTAATGTGAATCCTATGTAAGAACGAGTTGAGGGCTGGGTGGGCGTGGTGCTGTGTTCCTTTAATCCCAGCATGGAGGAGGTAGGAGCAGGGTCACACAGTGAGACAGCCTCAAAAAAAGGAGGGGAAGGAAGGAGAGCTGAGGTGACCATGTACAAGACCCTAAATATCCCTTAGGGATGCTTTGCCCTACCTCAGAAGACAGGCTTCTCTTTCCTCTGCCCTGTGCTCTGGAATGCTTTCCCTGTGCTTCCTTTCTTTTAGTTCCTTCTTACTTTCAAAGCTTTTATAACATATACTCATGTATAAGGTAGGTTCTGTTATATTTTCTTTTTATGGGAAGGGGTAGGACAAGGCTTCACTGTGTCAATCAGGCTGGACTTGAGGTATTCACCACATTTCTCTCATAAAAATATGGAATGTTTCATCAGGGGTGGTGGCACATGCCTTTAATCCCAGTACTCAGGAGGGTGAGGCAGGTGGATCTCTGTGCGTTCAAGGCCTGATCTACAGAGTGAGTTCCTGGACAGCCGGGGCTGCACAGAAAAACCCTGTCTTGAAAAAACAAAAAACCAAACCAACAAAAAATATGGAATGTTTCATGGGCCATGCTTCTTCCTGTTTCATTCCAACCTAGGTCCCTGTGCCCCAGAAATGAACTTTCCTTCCTCACACCACAGGATGGCCCAGGAGCACCTTCTATCTTCCTGGCCCAGTCCTAGCGTCAATTCTTGGTGAGTTCTGGCTCATTTTAGGGGAGAAGGGTTTGTAAAAAACCCAAACTCTAGCCAGGCAGTGGTGGCACACACCTTTAATCCCAGCACTTGGGAGGCAGAGGCAGGCTGATTTCTGAGTTCAAGGCCAGCCTGGTCTACAGAGTGAGTTCCAGGACAGCCAGGACTACACAGAGAAACCCTGTCTCGAGAAAAAAACAAACAAACCCAAACTCTAGGCACTGGATAGATTCACTGTTGCTTCCAAATACTAAGCAAGTCTGAGGCAGGAGGACTGAACACACAAGCCTCACTTTGTATACACTGGATAAGCATGGTACTAGCCCTTCTATTGTGTTTGATTCAATCTCATGTTATTTTATTCACCAAGCCCTAAAAGCAATAGGCTATAATTTACATACCAAACATTAAACATACCTAACATTAAACATGTAGTAAGCTATACTGTTTTAAAAGCTTGTCCATGCATACTCTGTAATGACGAATTATCTAGCAACAGGCATCTCAAAACATATCTCCCCATATAGAATTTTTACGTGACAAGCGACTATGTTTTGTGTGCTAGTACAGCTGTGTTTCTCCTTTACTACACATCTTGGAAACATAATCTCGTCTCTAAACAGTGTTCTCTAAGACATGGCAAGTCAAACACTATCACTGCCAACAGTACTCCTAAACTTCATGCATTTAGTGTATGCGTACTGGTGTTTTGCTCTGTATTGTACATACACACCTATATCTGTCTGTCCATCTGTCTGTCTGTCTGTCTGTCTGTCTGCCTACCTACCTACCTATGTATCTATCTGTGTACTGCATGTACAAGTTATAGACAATAATCAGCTGCCTTGTGGTTGCTGGGACTCAAACCTGGGTCCTCTGGAAGAGCAGACAGTGCCCTTAACCTCTAAGCCACCTGTCCAACCCCTAGCCTACAATTACCAGGACTTTACATTGCCACATGGTAAAAGGTAAAAATACAAAAATCTTTCTCTGAAAAAGTAACTAGGTTAACCAAGACTATTTCTTGAATAATCCAGGGAAGATGGTCCAGTACATTTTACGTCATGAATTCCATGTAGCGCTACGATCAAAACAAAAACCAAGAACAACAACAAACCAAACAAAAAACCCCAACAGCAACAAAAAGCAGGGACTAGAAAAGATATTCCTGGCCCTGATGGAGTACCACAGGGCTGTAGGACAGAAAGGACAATAGCATTCCATATGGTGGTAGCCATGGGTCTCACCTCTAAGCTGGGACGAAAGCTGCTTGAGGGGTAACACCTCCTGAACAACATACTGGTTCACACCGCCACTCTTCAGCAGCTCCTCTGGAGATAAGGGAAGGTGGAACTCAAAGTTGTGGGGAGACATCTTTCTCCCACTGGTTCACCTAGAAAACAAACAGCAAAAAAGTCACTGTGTAAATCTATGAGTGTGTTGTCTTTTTATTATGTGACAAGAACATTTCTAATAAGTCTACCACAGGCTCAGGTTCAGTTATTTTTCCCCCACTTTCAGTATATATAATGTCTTTCAGTCTTACAATAAGCTATATGAATCATCTTGTAAAAGATAAGATCAGAGCTACACAAAGTAGCACATGCTTTATATTTATATTCCAAGTACACGGGAATCAGTAGGACGGAGTTCAAGGCCAGTCTCTGCTCCGTGGTCTGGGCTGAGAGAGATCTTGTCACAAAACATCCTCCCCTGCAAACCCTCCTCCCACTGCAAAAGCAACTCGAGATGAGAATCTAATTCTTATTTTTCTTACGCTAAGACATTGAGTTCTTATGGTCTCCTCTGTAAAATGGTGTAACTCTGGGGCTCAAATGAATCAAGGGTTAAAAACTAGTAAAGAGCCATGTGTGGTAGCACATGCCTATAAACTCAACATCTGGAAGGCTGAGGCAGGAGGATTGCTGAGCTTGGGGCCAGCCGGGGCTGCAGTGAGACTGCCCAGGACTATATCTCAACAACAACACAAGAGAATATTAATTAACTATCAAGTGACAATCAGTGTATACATACAGCCTTATTGCTTCCATTTTAAAGTGAAAAGATCCTTAGAAAATGTTTCACTCAGCATTGGGGTTCTAGTCTGCAAAATGGAAGGACATTAACTTCTACTTATCCTGTGCCTCATTCTGTGACTTCCTAACCTCGGTCTCACGGGGTGCATAGCGAAACAACCAAATCTACATATTGTGCAGTAAGGTTATGCGATTTTGTCCAAATCGCATATTCCGATTCTGATCTGTCAGACTCACAGCCACCCAGGATCTCAAGGGCATCCTTACCAGACTGCTCCCGACCGCACTCTGGCAAAGGCTGCGTCACGTCCTGGACCTGATTTTCTCAACCTTTCACTCCCCGCTTCCTAGCCCTGCCACACTTCACCTGGACACCTCGACACTCCTCACCCGCCGCTTCTTCAACCGGAGATGCCCCGCCGAAAAGGAAGGAAGAAAACACTAGGACACAAAACGCGCCAAACAGCAAGATGGTTTTCAAGCTGGCGGAGAAACCAGCCAATCCTCGACAGGCTGAGACGGAGACCCGCCTCAGAGTAAAGCGTCCGGCTCGCCAAGCCCGCAACTCAGAGTTCAAACCCCAACGGCTACCAGGAGGCCAATCGCGACAGAGGCTGGAGAAGCCGACCAATCACAGCCCCGGAGGCGGGGCAAACAGGCGAGGGGCGTGGCCCCGGATCAGTGTGCTCTCTCGGGCATCGCGGCTGTAGTCCGCTAAGACTGATGGCCCGTTATCCCTCCGCAGGCCGGGAGGCAGGGCCAAGCTGCCTAATCCAGTCCAGGTTTTAACCATGTGACGCCCAGCCCTGTAAACTCCGGAAATACACTGCCTCAGCAAACCCGTTGAGGCGCAAGGGCACCTTGCGGTAGCGCCGGGCTCCCGTCCTCTACTTTCCTCACAGTTGAGGACGCCCAAGGAAATAGGATAGAGCTTATTTTAACGGAATCTCAGTTTAGGGGCGTCTTTTTCTGCGACAAGAGACACCACAGCAGTCCAAACACTTCCAGTGGATAAACCGGAAGTATTTAACTCGACGCGCCGGAGAGGCCGGAACTTGAAGGGCGGGGCGTGTGGGAGTGCGGGCCAAGGCGGGTCAGTTCCCTAAGCTACCTGGGTAAGGCCCAAAATGGCTTCTCTTAGTGTCAATGTCGTGTGAGTCCCGCCTGGGACTGTAACCTGTGTCTTGTCTTTGACATTCACACCTGTTTCCCCCTTTTCCGGCTGGTTTGCTTTCCCTGCTGAGGTGAACAGGCTAGAGTAATGGCAGGGCTTGTCCCTTGGGCGGCAAGTAGGAGACTATGGGGCTGGATGACCTCAACATGCAGAAGCTTCTCTCTGGGTAAGTGGCTAATGTGTAGGTAGGATGGCCCGCTAACTGCTTGTTAATCGGCAGTGCCGATTCATTCTTCTCCTTTCCATCCCTAGGTGTTCCACTATCGGCCTATGTAAGGCTTACTCTTCCGCCTCCCAAAGTGGTTGATCGCTGGAACGAGAAGAGGGCTCTGTTTGGTGTATACGACAACATTGGAATCCTGGGTAGGACTTGATTCCTAGTTGCAGATAGATTAGTATGCTATCTTAGCCGGGCGGTGGTCGCGCACGCCTTTAATCCCAGCACTTGGGAGGCAGAGGCAGGCGGATTTCTGAGTTCGAGGCCAGCTTGGTCTACAGAGTGAGTTCCAGGACAGCCAGGGCTACACAGAGAAACCTTAAAAAAAAAAAAAAAAGGATGTTTAGTATGCTATCATGACTCTTTTGGTTTTATTTGTGTAGAGAATAGTAATGTGCCCAGGGCTAGCTTGGTGACACAAACCTGTTACTTAGGAGATGAAAGCAGGCAAGATCAGTCTGAGTTAGTGAATAGTCTGGTACTCAGTCTTACTAACACAGTTAGTAGTGAACTGTTCTGAGTGCCAAAAGCTATCAGTATTTGAACCCAAACATTCTGGCTACAAAGTCCTTATTCTTTTTTTTTTTTTAAATAAGACTTTTGTGTATGTTCGTTTTCCTGAATGTGTACCATGTGCTGTTCAAGTAAGGCCTGCAGGTCCAGGGTGTCAGACTCCCCAGAACTTGCAGATCCAGGGTGTCAGACTCCCCAGAATTTGCTTTACAGGCAGTCGTGAACCTTCAGTTGAGAGTGCTGGCAGTAGAACTCTTTGGAAAAGCAAGTGTTACAAAGACTCTGTACTTTGTACTGTGCTGGTGTGCCTTGTCTATAAGTAGTTCTGCTCAGGGAGAGGAAAGCGTGGTGAAGGCCTAGTTGGTCTAGGCTGCTTTCTCTTCTCTTGAAACTAGTATATTCTGTCACATTACAGGGAATTTCGAAAAGCATCCAAAAGAACTGATCAGGGGCCCAGTATGGCTTCGAGGCTGGAGAGGAAATGAATTGCAGCGTTGTATCCGAAAGAAGAAAATGGTGGGAAGCAGAATGTTCATCGAGGACCTGCACAACCTTAACAAACGGATCAGATATCTCTACAAACACTTTAACCGACGTGGGAAGTACAGATAGGACAGGGAGCTGGAGAGATATGTTTGTCATCCTGGAGAAGGGAGCAGGACTGATCCCAGCAAGGAAAGAGCTTTGTGTGCTCTCTGTAATAAAGATGGGCTTCTTTGGAATCTGATATGCACAGTGCAATATCTACTCATTCATGCACATCCCTAAGTCACATGATCTTTTGTTAAGATTACTTATGATGGTTTATTGCTGGCACTTTCTGACACTGGCCCTTCATGTGTGTTTTTAAAGATTTGTTTTTGTTTTTTTGTAATCTTGGCGATGAATCCAGGGGCTTGCTCATTCTAGAGAAATGCTCTGCCCCCAGCTGCACGGGCCCTTGGAAGTGTAGCTGTTGTTCCTAAAGACTCCGCCACACCAAAATAAATTGGGAAAGTGAAATTACACTTTGTACTGCTCTCATCAGAATAAACTAGGGAACCTTTCTGAGTAGAATAGCATTTCCCATTCTCTTGAGAGCAGTACTGGGGATGATAATCTTGGGCCACGCCCAGTTTTATGAAGTGTAAAAGATCACACCCAGATTGCCCTTGTGCTAGGCAAGCACTCGACCAACTGAGCACCCCATTTAAAAACAAAATGAGAGGAGTTGGAAGGGAATATGGTCTCAGTAAATAACTCTGCTCTGGAGCTTACTCTATAGAACAGGCTGCCTTATGTCTCAGAGATGGACCTGCCTCTGTCCTGAGTGCTGAGATAAATGTGTGTACCACTACACCTGGCCCTTTCTCAGCTTTTTAATAGAAATGTCAAGTGTCATGGGAGAGTACACATGGGAGAGGAAGCTGAATTTGTCACCAGAGTCTCCTCCCAAGCTACAGAGGCTGATGAAAAGAGATGAAATGAATCTTGGTCTTCATGTGTAGTTACTTTTAATTTGCTTTCTAGATACAAGGTCTCCTGTAGCTCAGACCGACCTGGGACTTCCTACATAGCAGAGGCTAAATGTGTACTCCTGACCCTCCAGTCTCCACCTCCCAATGCTGGGATTACAGGTGTCTGCTACCATGCTGAGGTTGTTTGTTTGGGTTTTTTTTTAGAAAAGAAAAATGTCATTTAATAAAGATATTCTAATAGAGGCTTAAGCACCAGGGCTATGAGAGAGATGCTCAGATGAAATAAAACACTTGAAAGCATGACTGTGGGCTTCTCTAAGAGACTCTTATTTGTGACATAGTGCTGGGGTGTTGAATATACCAGGTGCTTATTGTATAGTAAACTATATACTCTGCCTGCATTTTGTTTTAGTTAGTATATTGCAAAAATAATAGATTTCACTGTGACAGTTTTATTTATTTCTTTTGGTTTTTTTGAGATAGGGTTTTCTCTGTGTATCCCTGGCTATCCTGGAACTCAGTATGTAGACCAGGCTAGACTTGAACTCATGGAGATCTGCATTAGTGCTGGAGCTAAGGCTTACACCACCACATTTTCCACACGGGTTTAAATTTGTGTTTAAATAAAGATCAGTTCAGTGAGAAGTCTGGAGATAACAGAAGTAATCCAGGGAATTTTTCTTGCATCTTTTGTTTAGTTTTGTTTTGTTGAAACAGTCTTGGGGCTGGAGCGATGACTCAATAGTTAATAGCCGTCTTCCAGAGGACCCCAGTTAGTTCCCAGCATACACATGGTGACTCATGGCTGGCTGTAGCTCCAGTTTCTGGGCTCTCCATGGAGATCAGGCATGCACATGTGCACAGGCATAGTTGCATGTAAAACATGAAATAATAAAAATAGTAAATTAAAAAAAAAAACCCTACAGTCTCTCACTCTGTAATTCAGGCTCAGGCCGGCCTAGAACTCTTATAGCTCAAGCTGAGACCCATCCTCCTGCCTCTGGAGTGACAAGATTATATGTATGACTTCCTGTCCAGTTTCAAGTTCCTGTTTAATCTTCATATTTAGTGGTCATGTTCAAGGTTAGATAATACCTATCTCTTTTTTTAAAAAGTTACAGAGACCCACAGCCAAACAGCGGAGCTTGGGATTCTCTTGGAAGAGTGGGAGGAGGGATTGTAGGAGCCAGAGGGGTCAAGGACACCACAAGAAAATCCACAGAATCAACTAACCTGAGCCCATTGGGGCTTACAGAAACTGAACTGCCAACCAGGGAGCTTGCATGGGACTGACCTAGGCCCTTCACACATTGTGGTTAGAAGGAATTCTAACAGTGGGAGCAGGGGCTGTCTGATTCTGCTGCCTGCCTTCAGGACCTTTTTCTCCAACTGGGCTGCCTTGCCTAGCCTTAATCAAAGAGGTGCCTAGTCTTACTGCATTTGAAATGCCATGGCTGGTTGATATCCACCGAGGCCTAACCTTCTTTGAGGAGAAGGAGAGAGGCGTGGGGATCAGAGTGTGGAGAAGTGGCAGGGAGAGACTGAGGAGGGAGGGGAAGCTGTGGGCAGGATGTAAAATAAAATTTAAAAATTCAAAAGTACTGCAAACACAAGAAAATGAGTTGCTTGTAGACTCAAGTGAGCTCTGAAGTCAGAAGAATTAGGGTGATTATCCTATGTGATTTAAATCTTTCAGTTCTGTGTCAATGGTCTTTTATTACATAACAGTCTATTCTGAAATTTGATGACTGAAAACAAGTTCAATTCATTTTTCTCTGGGTTTTCTTCTTTAGATGGTTCATTTGGTTTTACTGTCATGAGGCCATATTCAGCAGTGGGCTGACATGTCTAAGACATCACTCACATCTACTTAGTTGGTAGTTGAGGTTGTTTGTTTGTTTGTCTGTTTGTTTTTGTTTTTGTTTTTTTTTGAGAACCAAACCAGGGTCACTGCAAGAACAGCAAGTGCTTGTACTTCTGAGTCACCTTGCCAGCCCCAGCTAAGGTTCATTTTGCACATGGTCTTACTATTCAGCCTCTCTTGGGGCTTGGTTACTTAGAGACTTGATCCCAAAGGGCAAAAATTGCAAGTGACAAGGCTCAATAAAATGAAGCTAAGAAGTCATGATGTCATTAGGCCTGGTGGGAAACACCTTTGATCCCAGTACTGATCCCAGGAGACAGAGGCCCATGCATCTGTCAGTTTGAAGCCAGCTGGATCTACCTATCAAGTTCCAGGCTGGACTACACAGTGAAATCACATCTTTAAAAAAGAAAGAGAAAAAAGAAAAAAGCCAGGCAGTGGCACATGCCTTTAATTCCAGCACTTGGACAGCAGAGACAGGTGGATCTCTGTAAGCTCGAGGCCAGCATGGTCTACAGACAAGTTTCAGGACAGCCAAGGCTACACATAGAAACCTTGTCTCAAACAAACAAACAAACAAACAAACAAACAAAAACAAAAAAAAAAAACCCAAAGGGAATGAAAAACAGTAGAAAAGGGAGAGGAAACTGTTTTAATGACATCTGATTGTTACTGAAGAAGGAATTAACAACTCAGCTCCAGAAGCCTGTATAAATTCTTCCTGCTGTAAGATACAAAAAGTCTTATTTTTCAAACACAGAGCTGTATTGTTTTTGTAACGAAAAAGAATGCAACATTTCCCTTCAACAAACACCAAATCATTGTGTGGAAGGACCTTGGAGACATGTACACCACAGACCAGGGCTCTCACTGCCTGTAAAAAGACTTCACCCTTCTGGTGCAGCATGTACATGTAAACAAGATATACATTTAGTATGGCCCTCACATGGGAAAAGTACTGTTGCATGAGTTTTTGTTTGTTTTGGGGTTTGTTCATTTTCTACGTATACAGTATTCTGTCTACATGTAGGTCTACCCAGCAGAAGAGAGCACCAGATCTCATCATAGATGGTTGTGAGCCACCATGTGGTTGCTGGGAATTGAACTCAGGACCTCTGGAAGAGCAGCTCTTAACTGCTGAGCCATCTCTCCAACCTCGCATGAGGTTTTGTTTTTTTGTTTTTTTTTTAATGGGTAGAGTAAGAAAACTGTGTGTGTGCATGCACTCATGCGAGCTACTGTAGATTGAAGTGCTTGAAGCAGGGCTTAGAAAGGTTCAGTGCTAGTAACTCAGTGGGAAATTACTCTACAGATGCAGACAGGAGAGAATCCCTAACCTACCCAGGGGGCCAGGTAAAGGGCAGGGAAGGCTTCCTGAAGGTGACCACCACTGATTTATCTTAAAGGAATGTTAAAAGTGTAGAGAGGTAACTGGGTTTTCAGGCAAATGATGCAAAACAAAATGGCAGAGAGATGAGAGATAGCATGGAGCCATCGCACAGCAAAGCTATGAGTGGTATTTGTTAGTGGACCTACCTTGTGTGCCTAAAGATAAGCTGAGAAGAGTCAGGCCATGAAGAAACCTACAGACCTGCTTACATTTAGTAAAATGATATAGCTGCTTTGGGAAATCCACAGTTGCCCCCAAAGCTAAATACAGAGTTATATATAATTCAGTAATGTCACTCGTAGGTGTCATCCAAGAGAACCGAAAAGCATCTGTTCAACAAGTGCAGAAAGGTTCATGACAATGCAGCTCATTGTGGTAGTCAAAAGAGGAAAAGAACCTCAGGAGGAACCAACCAAACCAAATGTCTACCTGATGGCAGAGCCCCGTGATCCAGGTGCCTAGGAGGTAGAGGCAGGAGGATCAGGGGTTCAAGGTCTTCTTCAGATACATAATGAGTTTGAAGTAAGCCTGAGTTTGATCCCTGCAACTAATCCCTCATGGTAGAAGGAGAGAACCAACTCTTTCAAACTAGTCTCATTTCTACATGTGCATGCCTGCCCTCAAATAAATAAGTGTAATGTTTTAAAAGGACAAGTGTCCATCAATTGATTTAAAAAAAAGTAATCAAGATGTTGTACCGCCGTACAATGGATTATTATTCAATTACCAAAAGAATGGATTACCCATACATGCTACACAGATGAATATTTAAAACATGTTTGATCAAAGAACCAGTCATAAAATGCCAAATGCTGTATGATGCTGTCTCACTGAAATGTGCGGAATAGACATGTCTACGGAAGCAGACCTGGTTTAGTTGCTGCTCTTTGGGTGGGATAAAGGTTGGAGAGTGGCTTTAGGACGTACAGGGTTCTCCAGGGATTGTGTGAAGAGGCCCTGGAAGTGGTAGATGCTAGTCAGAGAGCACAGGGTTTCCGAGCAACAGGAAATCAGTTAATAGCAACAGATTATAACACTTGTGTAGCAGAAATTTAGCATAGCTATTTTATCTGGCATGAATTCCCGTGGGAAAACACCTAGGCTTTTGTAAATAGTCAGTGGTTGTTATCTGAGGCTTATGGAGCTGTTCTTCCTAAGGATTCACAAGAGCCTTTGCATAACTTAGTCCTGAGACATATTTGGCAAACCAGGAAGCTTTGTTTGGCTGAGAATTGCTTAGGTAATGGTGCCTTCAGACAACTAGATCAGATAAGGGGTTTTGGTATTCAGAAATTGACTTGCTAATAGTGTCAGAATAAAGAGGCTTCTGCAAAGTGGTTAGGAATTCAGTTCATCAGAGGCTATAGAAGCCCTAATATATCCTGTAGTATTGATTTGAAAATCAGCATAGTTCAAAACACCGATGTGCTTTGTTAAGGAGAGGGTCTCATGTGACCCAGGTTGACTCTGAACTCACAATGTAGCTGAGACTAGCCTTAAACTCCAGATACCTTTTTCTCTGCTTCCCAAGTGCTGGAATTATGCAGATATGCCACCATACCTGATTGCTAAGAGAATATTTTACATTCTTCTAACTACAAAAAACAAAAACAAAACAAAAACAAAAACCAAACATGTTAGGTTGGTCTGGAGATGTTGCTTAAATGATACACTACTTCCTTAGCATGCAGGAAACTCTGAGTTCATTCTGCCACACTGAGTTAATTGGACATGACAGTGCACATCAGTAATCCAGCACTCAGGAGGTTCTAGGGCATCCTTGGATACATAGTGAGCTAGAGGCCAGCCTCAAACACTGTCTCAATATTAATATATATATATATATATATATGAATTCATAAATATATATTCATAAACAAAATCCTTTCTAAAAGTTTGACTACACAGACACACAATAAATACATAAATAAATAAATAAATAAATAAATGTAATTTTAATATATAATGTGTGTGTGTGTGTGTGTGTGTATAAATATATTGGTTTGAATAAGAATGGCCCCAATAGGGACTGGAGAGATGGCTCAGTGG